CCTCCCCAAGTCCCCAGCCCCCCCCCCAGTCCCCTAGGATGTCCCAGTGTCCCTGCCCAGAAGTCCTGCTCCTCAGTAATGTCCCCTTCCCCAGTATCCCCAGGCCCTGTTGTACCTGTGCTCCCCAGTGTCCTCATGTCCCTATGCTCCAGTGTACCTGGGCTCCACAGTGTCCCCACATCCCTATGCCCACTGTCTCCATGCCCTGGTGTCCCCATGCACTAGTGGTCCCCAGTGTCCCCAAACCCCCACATCCCTGGGCTCCCCAGTCTCCCCATGTCCCTATGCCCACTGCCCTCACTGCTCCCATGCCCCAGTGTCTCTGGGCTCCACAGTGTCCCCATGCCCTGGTGTCCCCATGACCCAGTGTCCCTGGGCTTCATGGTGTCCCCATACCTGATGCTCCACAGTGTCCCCAAACCCCCATGTCCCTAGACTTCATGGTGTCCCATATCCCTATGCTCCAGTGCCCCCACTGTCCCCACACCCTGGTGCCCCCATGCCCCAGTGTCCCCAAACCCCTGTGTCTCTAGGCTCCCCAGTATCCCCATGCCCCAGTGTCCCTGGGCTCCCCAGTGCCCCTACTGTCCCCACACCCTGGTGTCCTCAAACCCCTGTGTCCCTGGGCTCCCCAGTGTCCCCACGTCCCTATGCTCCAGTGCCCCCACTGTCCCCACACCCTGGTGTCCCCATGCCCCTGTGTCCTCAAACCCCTGTATCCCTGGGCTCCCCAGTCTCCCCATGTCCCTATGCTCCAGTACCCCCACTGTCCCCACACCCTGGTGTCCCCATGCCCCTGTGTCCTCAAACCCCTGTGTCCCTGGGCTCCCCAGTCTCCCCACATCCCTATGCTCCAGTGCCCCCACTGTCCCCACACCCTGGTGCCCCCATGCCCCTGTGTCCCCAAACCCCTGTGTCTCTAGGCTCCCCAGTATCCCCACGCCCCAGTGTCCCTGGGCTCCCCAGTGCCCCCACTGTCCCCACACCCTGGTGTCCCCATGCCCCTGTGTCCTCAAACCCCTGTGTCCCTGGGCTCCCCAGTCTCCCCA